TGTCTGTAAATATACCATGACCTGCCCTTCTACACTGCTGGAAACATCCAACAGGGAATGAACTGAGAGGCACACACACCACCTCAGAGGGAGGATTAAAATCCAAGGGCACTGGCTGCTGGAAAACCTCAAAAATCGGGGATGGAGGATATGGGAACAACATGTTTACACTTAATCTGACAGAATCTTCGATGCACTGAGTAGACCATAAATCAAACTCAGCCAATTTCGTCACCCACAGCCATCAATTTTTAAATGCTTTCCTATAGCACAGGTAACTTCTGCAGGTTCATCTACTACTTTCTCACTTTCTCTCTAAACTCCTTGTTCACCCCTTGAAAACCCAACCTAGAAAAACCTGACAGCTAGCAGGCTCTGCAGGAAATTGTTTTGGTAATTTATTAGGCAACTCTTCTGTTTGCACAAAACATACTTTTCAGAATTCTCTGAAACTTAACTATGTCTTGAAATTTAAGCTTTGAGACATAAAGATTAAGTTCTGAGGAAAATGTGATTAGCAGGATCTATGTGATCCTTTCATTCCTCTTGCAGCTCAACAGTTCCCCCCCCCCCTTCTCAAACCCTATGATTTTTATGAATTGTGTTGGACTACATGGGAGAAACCATGTTTTCTACTTTTATTTCTCAAATTGTGGGAATTTGGTATTTTTCTTTCTTGCTCAGGTCTAGAACAAAGCAAACTCTGAAAACCTCAGCTTTGATTTCTAACATAAAAAACTTAAAACATGGCTCAGCTGCTTCTTAAGAACAAAAATACTCTGCATGCAAGCAAAAAGAATCTCAGTGTTTCTAGATAAGGACTTTGGAGGGTTCCAGCTCCTCAAATGCTGACAGGCAGGTCTGGCATGACTTGTATTTTAACTACGTGATTCAAAATTTAGTTGGATTTAGGTAGAAAGGTCAATGAATCCTACGCAGTCATTTCTCTTTTAAAGCACTTTCAAACATATATACAAAAAAAAAACCCTCAATAACATGGACGAAGTAAATGTAGCTTTATTATAACCATAACAACCAACTCTACAATTAGAACTATGTTAAAAATAAATGTCTCTGTATTTCTTTAAATGCTCAATCTAGTCTTTGTAAGATAATGTGTTTTCTTTACGTTAGTTGATTTTTAGTGTTACTCAGTGCTTTATGAGGACCTCGTGCTTGACCTCATGCTTGCCCTCGTGCTCACCAACAGGGAAGGGCTCGTTGGAAATGTGACTCTCCAGAGCAGCCTTGGATGCAGCGATCATGAGATGCTCGAATTTGAGATCCTCAGGACAGTGAAAAGAGCGTGCAGCAAGCTCACTGCCCTGGACTTCAAAAGAGCAGACTTTGGCCTCTTCAGGAACCTGCTTCGGAAGGTTCCATGGGATACAGCCCTAGAGGGCAGGGGGGCCCAAGAGTCTTGGTTGATATTCAAGGATGACCTGCTACAAGCTCAGGAGTGTTGCATCCCAACCAGAAGGAAGTGCAGCAGGAGGGCCAGGAGACCTCCTTGGATGGAAAAGGAGCTCCTGAGGAAAATTCAGATGAAAAAGGAGGCTTATAATAAGTGGAAGCAAGGACAGGTGGCCTGGGAAGAGTACAGGGATGTTGTCCGGGAAGCTAGGGACCACGTTAGGAAAGCTGAGGCCCAGTTAGAATTAAACTTAGCTAGAGGTATTAAAGATAACAGGAAGGGATTCTACAAGTACATAGCAAATAAAAAACAGACTAGGGAGAACGTAGGCCCCCTCAGGAAGCTCTCGGGAGAAAAGGTTACACAGGATTTGGAGAAGGCTGAGGTTCTGAATGACTTCTTTGCTTCGGTCTTCACTGGCAAAGGCTCTGACCTCACCACCCAAGTCTTGGAAGGCAGACCCAGGGACTGTGAGAATGAAGACCTTGTGCCCACTGTAGGAGAGGATCTGGTCTGAGACCATCTTAAAAATCTGAACATGCACAAGTCCATGGGACCTGATGAAATCCATCCACAGGTGCTGAAGGAGCTGGCGAATGAAGTTGCTGACACTGGCCATCATATTTGAGAAATCATGGCAGTCAGGTGAAGTTCCTGATGACTGGAAAAAGGGAAATCTAACCCCCATTTTCAAGAAGGGGAAAATGGATGACCCAGGGAATTACAGAGCAGTCAGTCTCACCTCTGTGCCTGGCAAAATCTTGGAGCAGATTCTCCTGGAAGGCATGCTAAGGCACATGAAAAACAACAAGGTGCTTGGTGACAGCCAGCATGGCTTCACTAAGGGCAAATCCTGCATGACCAATTTGGTGGCTTTCTATGATGGGGCTACAGAACTGATGGACAGGGGTAGAGCAGTTGATGTCATCTACCTGGACTTGTGCAAAGCGTTTGACACTGTCCCACACGACATCCTTGTCTCTAAATTGGAGAGACATCAATTTGATGGATGGACCACTTGGTGGATAAAGAACTGGCTGGATGGCCGCACACAAAGAGTTGTGGTCAATGGCTCAGTGTCCGGCTGGAGACCAGTAACGAGTGGTGTCCCTCAGGGATGGGTGTTGGGACTGGTCTTGTTCAACATCTTTGTCGCTGACATGGACAGTGGGATTGAGTGTGCCCTCAGCAAGTTTGCTGATGACACCAAGCTGTGTGGTTTGGTTGATACCCTGGAGGGAAGGAATGCCATCCAGAGGGACCTCAACATGCTTGTGAGGTGGGCACATGCCAGCCTCATGAAGTTTAACCATGCCAAGTGCAAGGTCCTGCACCTGGGTCAGAACAATCCCAGGCACAGCTACAGGTTGGGCAGAGAAGAGATTCAGAGCAGCCCTGTGGAGAAGGACTTGGGGGTGTTGGTTGATGAGAAAATGAACATGAGCTGGCTTCAGTGTGCGCTTGCAGCCCAGAAAGCCAACCGTATCCTGGGCTGCATCAAAAGGAGCGTGACCAGCAGGTCGAAGGAGGTGATCCTGCCCCTTTACTCTGCTCTTGTGAGACCTCACCTGGAGTATTGTGTGCAGTTCTGGTGTCCTCAGCATAAAAAGGACATGGAACTGTTGGAACAAGTCCAGAGGAGGCCACGAGGATGATCAGGGGACTGGAGCACCTCCTGTATGAAGACAGGGTGAGGAAGTTGGGGCTGTTCAGCCTGGAGAAGAGAAGGCTGTGTGGAGACCTCATAGCAGCCTTCCAGTATCTGAAGGGGGCCTATAGGGATGCTGGAGAGGGACTCTTCATTAGGGACTGTAGTGACAGGACAAGGGGTAACGGATTAAAACTTAAACAGGGGAAGTTTAGACTGGATATAAGAAGGAAATTCTTTCCTGTTAGGGTGGTGAGGCACTGGAATGGGTTGCCCAGGGAGGTTGTGAATGCTCCATCCCTGGCAGTGTTCAAGACCGGGTTGGACGAGGCCTTGGGTGATATGATTTAGTGTAAGGTGTCCCTGCCAATGCAGGGGGTTTGGAACTAGATGATCTTAATGTCCTTTCCAACCCTAAATATTCTATGATTCTATGATTCTATGACCTGACAAAAGGCAATTAGTCAAACTTGATGCTGAAAGATCAAGTTCAATTCGTTTTTTCTTTGATCTCAGAAGTCTGAGCTTCAATAAAATGCACACATGTGGAAACTAGCAGTTTGCTAATACACCAGAGCTTGTTGCAAGAACACTTACCAATGCAAAGGTGACCCAGTGCTGGGTGAGAATCTGTATAATAGTGTAACTAAAATAACCTTCACATAATTTTACTGTTCATAATTGTCGTGGTTTAAACCCAGTCAGGTAACTCGTTCGCTCACTTCCCCCCCTTTTGTTGCCCTCCCCCTGCTCTCGGAGGGACGGAGAGGAGAATCAAAAGAATGCAACTCCCACGGGTTGAGATAAGAACAGTTTAGTAACTAAGGTATAACACAAATCACTACTGCTACCACCAATGATAATAATGATAAAGGAAATAACAAGGGAAGAGAATACATCATCTCACCACCAGCCGACCGATAAGCCCGACCAAGCACCGACCCATACCTCCTCCAACCCTGCCGTCTCCCAGCCCTTCCGGCTAACTCCCAGTTACCCCCCCAGGCATGACGTGCTGTGGTATGGAATACCTCTTTGGTCAGTTTGGGTCAGGTGTCCTGTCTCTGCTTCCTCCCGGCTTCCCCTCCTCCCTGGCAGAGCATGAGGCTCACAAAGTCCTTGGCCAAACCAAAACATCGCTATCAGTTCTGTTCCCAGGCCAAAAGTCAAAACACTGCACTGCACCAGCTACCAAGAAGGAGAAAAATGACTGCTACTGCTGAACCCAGGACAATAATGTAGACACTTAATTCTCCAACAGTAGAAGTTTCTGGGCATCAAGAAGGTTCCCGAACATGTGCAAAGCTACCTGTTCTGGCTAGCTTGCAATCCACAAATCTGCTTATCTCACTTGCATGCTCCACATTCAGAGCACTCTTACCAGACTAGGTCCCAACTAAAGTGGCGGTTGTGCCTTTAGTCTATCAACTTTCTAGTTTTCATCTACTCTGATGCACAGGGGGATCCAACTTCAGCTCAAATTCTTCTACAGGGAAGGGAAAACAGTATTTTGTACCTCTGAAGAGAATGAACTAGCCACCTGGGTAAATACACTTGAAAGACCCTTCCTCTTAGTCTCTGTTAAATAAGCTGCTCCACTCTGCATGGGAAAACTATACATTAGTTGAGTTTCACTCATTAGGTGTGTTTCAGGTTCACTCATTAGTGTGATCACTCATTAGGAGTGATCACAGTCTTTTAATCTTGCAGTAGGTCCTCACCTGGGAAAAGGGAGGTGCCTGTGCCAATCTCCATCTTTTATTAAAAAGAAGGAAGCAAACAAAAACCAGCATCACATATATGCAAGGTCATTTCTGGTCTAATCACACTTCTTGTCTTGGGTACTCTAAAACCTGTAAAATCAAGAGGTTGATTCTATGATTTTGTATCAGTGGTTATCTTACACAATTTAGCTCTCAGTTAGCATGCCACACCTACCTGGCACACCAAAATTCTTCTACAGTTTCTCTGGGGAAACTGAAAAATACAAAATAATCCTTTCAGGGCACCAAGTAGAAGCTATAGAGGAATACAAAATATTGAGAAATCTGGATCAGCAACGCAGTATTTTCTCAGAAGACTGAACAATAAATGGAGATCAGAATCTCAGTGATGTGTATTTCATGGATGATTGACAAATCACATATGCTGCACAAAGTAGGCACTGTCAGCCAAATGGTTCAATGCTAACAGCACTAAAATCTTTCCTGTAAGTGCAAATATTGGTACTACTCTCACTGCATTATTGCTATTTTGGGGAAAGCAGATATTCCAAATACACAGACATAAAAAATACTTCGCAGCTCTAAATGAAATCAAACAGTAGAAGGAAACACTTGGGAAAAGCTAAGGATTGTCTTAAAGCTAGCAACAAGGCTGTGCTGGATCAGACTAATGATCTTTCAGGAGTCTTACCTATAGAAGTGTCAGTTCTTCTGGAAACTGCTGAAATCCTTGCTTTAGTGGTTTCTGAGGAAAAAGTAAGGCTGGGATGGCTGTATTTTGTGATGGGGAAAAACATAATTTTTAATTTGAAATTGTTCAACTACTCCAGTTCTTGAAGTGTGTCCTAGAGTTTATGAAGATCCTGATTTATCTTCTCTGAAACAGGGATATTTTGCATGCCATAAATATTACCTCCACCAAATATTTTATTCCATTTCCCTTGGTCCTTAATCCTATTCCTAGAGTATGTTTTTCTTGTTCCTAATATTTTCCTTATGCATCTCTGAACTCTTATTCTCTGGAGATACAGTGAAGGACTCAACGTTGTATTCCAACAGAAGATGTATCATTATTTTGTTTGACTGGTTTAATGTTAAGAGTTCTAGACAAAAATTACCATATTCTCAATGTTGATTCTGTAATAAATAGAATGGTGGTTTTAAATTATTTACTACCAACTATCCGATACAGCTTTTTTTCTTACACTGGTTTAGAAGCCCAGAAGGAACATGACCGACTCGTATTATTTCTTCCAATAGATTATTTTGAATGTAATATCATGAATTTTTACCTACATGGTTCGGCTCATCTCTTCTCTGGGAAGATCTCTCTGGTATTTCTTATGGCCTCCTCTGGTTTTATCTAAATTGCACAATAAGTAAACACTGAAATATTCTTCCTTCAGCCTTTCCTGTAATTACACATTAACAAGTGTATCAGACTGTATCTCTGATAACAGTACAACAGAATCTCTCAAGTTATTACATAGATGTATATCTTTAATAGTCCACTGCATTACCTTCAGTTAAATTCCAAGTTTATACCAAAGCTACTGATAACCAGCCCTGTTCTGAAAAGTCAGATAAATAACCCCTCATCTATATTTCGAAAAGCTGCATTTCTAACCATCTACTATTGTAACAAAAAAAAAATAATCAATCCAAACCCCAAATCACAAGTGGCCCTCAAACTGGGTTAAACAGAAATCCAAAGAAACATTAAAGAAACATTAAGATAGTCACTGAAGGACACTATTAAATTGTTTCTTATGAAACTTCATAATTTATCAATACACATAACATCTGTCACATAAGACTTAAAATAAGTCTTCTCGGACTTAGAACTCTAACATGAAACCAGTAAAACATACCAATGATACACCTCATTTTGAGAATCTTTCGCTCCACGGAGGTTGCCTTTGCATACTGGAATACCTTACCAGGAAGTACAGTAATAGCGAGCATCTTCAAAAGTTTTCTAGAAGCAATAATCTAAGAAAATAATGATCAATATACAAAGCCACATTGTAAACATTCTTTTTTCTGCTCCTATTTTTATAATGGAGCAGCCCTCCTCTTAAAATTATTTTTTTGAAAGCTCTGCTTAAAAAAAAAACCCACATAATCCTGAGAATTCTCAGAAAACTTTGGACATCAAATGGATGTGAAACTGAACATGGCAAATATCCAAGATTCTCTGTGAAGAAAGGCCCAATAGCAAACAATTAAGCACAGCAGTTCAATCATTTTCTCAAAATTCTCAGGATAATTAGGGAATGTATTCAGCACAGAAAATTGTACTGTCAAACTAATCCAGTAAATTTAATCGAAGGTCTTTCACCAAATACAGGAGCACAAATTCAATTGCTTTAAAACAAAACAAAGCAAATCCCAAACAAAACCCCACCATAAACCAGTAGAATTCCTTTATTCAGTAGGAATTACGTAGGCCTAATTTTCAGTTTCTCTTTGTAAGGGAAGTTTTTTGTACTGAAAGATATAATAGTGAAACTGAAAGAGCACCAAGGCTGGTTCAATTCATGTTTATTTGGGTAACAACATACTAAAGAGATTTTTTAGGGTTATTGGATGAAATTCAACTAGACCTATTTACTGCTCAAAATATAAATGACATCTAGATCTACTTTCAGATGCTTGATAGTAGACATGTGGTTTATTATTTATTTTTATACAAAAATAAATGATGTCGTCCTCAGTGACTTGATTTTGCTTTACTCTTCAACCTGCACATGAGGAGGACACGGGAATCCTGCCTGTCGGAAGCTAATCTTTGCATATGCTTTTGGAAGATGTTAACTTGTCAATGCTGATGGTGGTTTGGGTAACACAGATACCTAATTCTATGCTACTTTTCACAAATAAGGAGAAGCAAGGTAAAAAAGTGTTTTGGTTGGAGTGGGAAGGCATCCACAGTCTATGGTAATAGGTGCACTGAAAAAGGAAAGAAAGGTAAAGAGCAGAAGCATACAGTTCACTATTTAATATCTGATACGGGCAGAATACACAGTGGCTAAGCACTCTGTAAAGAACTCCATAGTTGAAAATTCAGGTTAGCACTGGAAGGTGCAGACAGGACGTATTGTTGGCCTGAACCACAAACAAGTGAGTATTTGAAGGAGTTTTGCTGTAAAGGTGCTTAGTTAAATTGCAGACTAAAAGAATTTTGATGTGAAGACGCTTAGTTAAATTGTAGGTCATTGTTTAAGACTACAGGATTAGTTTACTCATAGTGGTATTTTATTTTGGCATATTTGGTTCTTTCTGAAGATGTTTAATATATGTGACAATAATAAAAAAGTTGACTGGCCCTCCTAAGTTCCATCACTCACTTCTTGATTATTGGTTGGTTTCAAGTGTAATAATTGACAGTCATAAAAAGGGAAGCATCAAGGGACCAATAATTCTCATGTGAGGTGAAAAAAACCCCACCAAAACCCCCCAAACAAACCACCGGTGAAACCTGAGGGAAGCTTAGTCATTGCTTTATGTTTCTCTCAACCAGCCATCTCCCCCTCCACCCCCCACCAATATCATGCTTCAAATATTTAGCTACATTGTTCAGCTTGAGAATTTACAAACCCTAAATACTTTCCTTGTCTATAAAGAGCAAATTTCACAAGAAACAAAGTATTTCCTTCTTGAAAACTGCTACCATTAAGGTTCAAGTAACACACTTGCTGGTTGCAAGCTATTAAACCATAAAACTGATATAAACAATTATGAGGGGAAGAAATGTCATCTTAACTCCACCCCCCCCCCGCCCCCCAACTATCAAGATACAGAAAAATCAAGAAGAAACCAAAGATACTACATCAGAAGTAACTAGTAATTCAAGAGAATCCAAATGCATGTCTGTATTTGGATACCTACAGTGCTTATGCACTTTTTGGGAAAGGAGAAGAATAAAATATATAAGGCCAAGGTAAGGAAAAAAACACCAACCAACCAACCAACCCTTGGGATGAGTCCATAACTGACTGTAAATTTTATGTATCAGCTTTATTTACAGCAAAACATAGCAAACTTTACTCTTGATTTTTTGTAAAATTATTTTAGTGAACATGTAAATATTCACATTTAGAAGTCACAGTGTAAAAGGACGCAACATTTGCAAAAAGAATATGTAAAACTATCAGATGTTAAACCAATTAAATGATTAAAATTATATGAGGTTTTCTTTTGAACTCAAACAATCGTTATAGCTGAAAAAAGTAAAATAATTCCATTACTACTATAACTTTTTTTCCTCTAATGCAAACCTTTCGGAGTAGAAACACCTCCTAAAAAAGTACTAAATCTCATTAACAAAGCAGAACTGATGTAGTTTTACTTAAGGATAATGGGAGGTGACAAGATCACATGAAAGAAAAGGAATTATTTGAAAACAAAACAACCAAGGTAGTAAAAATTCAGAGATGAGGCTATTTTTCTTCACTTGTGTACATAACAAATATCCTCAATTTGACTGCAACAGGGACAAGAAAAAAAAAACAACAAAACAACAAAAACATCAACAGCCTTTAAAACGTCTCTGAAGAAATAATGGAATATTTGTTACTGCTGTAGGAATTCTTAAGCTTATTCTAATGCACACTACCAAACAATAATTCTGCATCTTCTCCAGTGACCTGTATGATTTCCACATTTAGCCACAAATAAACAAAAATCCCCATCAGGTTTCACCTGTCAGGGGAGGTGGAATGTATGTTTGCAAAACCTGTTTATTAAATATTATTTTAGTACTGCGGTGCTCGAGCTCAGGTCAGGCACTGGGGTTCCATTTTGCTCAGTGCTTCACAATAGTTAAAGACAATCCTTATTTTGCAGTCAAAACACCACTAACATCTTGATTCTGTGGACTGTATTTTAAACTGCATCAGGAAAAGTTGAGTTGCCAAAAGAATAGGGAAGTTCAGTATACTCTGATAGTTTTCCTCTATTTTCAGACTCTTTAACTATTACAATTTCTGTATTCCTCACTTGATAGTTTTAGTGATGCCATACAGAAGTATATTTATGTAAACATCAAGGGAAATTAAAATGTTAATCACATTATTCATGTAGCCCTTTGTTGTGAGAACCACCTAAGAGAGATACTACAATATGTATTTTACATAGCTAATAAAAGACAAGCCACTTTATGTTTTAAATCTTTATTAGATGGTAAATATTATTTCATTGCCACTTCAATTATGTGATGCATGGATTTAAAATACAGCTGAAACACGGAGCAGTTATTGTTAGAAAAACTGGGAAAAGGGAGACACACATACATTTTTAAATACATAACGTGAGCCTGGCTATAGATAAAGTGATCAAACCCAGCATGCAAGAGTTTATATCTTAAAAAAACATTTGTCCTACAAAACACATTTACTCTGACGATTACAACAGACATGCTGGATTATGATTTTAATGATTTTTTGAACATTTGATGACAGTACGTCAAAATGCACAGCAACACAGCATCTGCCACATCAATCTGATTTTTCTCACTTTTTATAACACGACTTCATGGAAATACCTGACATTTCAGCCTCCCTTCTCTAACCTTCCATGGATATGTTTGTGCAATAAAGCTGAAGCGTGGTCGCAGCAGCTTTCTCACCGTGCCCAGCGCAAAGCTCAAGCAGCAGGCTTGTACACCAACCTCAGAGCCTTGGAAACATACATGTAAAAATGCTCAACTCAGCCTCCCCTCAGCTGCACAGAAAGATGCTTTAAATCGAATTTTGTTAAAAGTTATGCAGTTGGGAGCTTTAGGGTCTCTACATACACAGCATTCTTTGTCTAATTCCTATATAATTTCAAACATACTTTCGGCTTTGCCTCACGAGTCACATTAGTTAGTAAACGGGGCAAAATAATACTAAAAAATGACGGCTTCTCCTGTTTACACCGATCCCTGCTACATTCACTCTTATTGTCCACAAACGTGTTGGCTCTGGCAAGGCCCAAACTCGACCTGAAAAAGCATAGATGCATTGCAAACCATAAAGTAATTATGCTCCTTTATACCCCTTCCTTGTCGGACACGGATTTGTTTTTTTAAAGGTAGTTATTAGTGGTAACGATAGTTACCTTTAAACAAAGCAAAAATTACTTGCTTTGGTTTTCCTTTATGACTGCAAGCAGCAAATAAACAGTTACAGCACGAATCAGAACGTTTATTCGGTATCATCAAGCTACCAAGCATTAAATAAACCAATGTTTTAATCTCCAATCAGGCTCTGTACAATGTTGCAGCCTTTCAGGAACCTTCGGTACGTTACTGATCCACTAGTGAATTACCTCCAGTTCAGCCATAGGTTGCAGGCATCATCATCCTTCGCTTGTCCTCGCGTTGACAACACTCCTTTTGCCATCGCTCCTAGAAGCCGCAAGATTCGT